GAAATGTTTTCATTCTTCACAGCTCAAAGAATGGAAGGATAAACCACCTGACTCTCAAGACTGTCTTCTCCATCCTGTCGGCCACCCTTCTTGGCCAGCAAGAAGGAACGGCTTTGAGCCATTGGAAAATATGCATCGAGTGGGCTGGTCAGTGCCTACCCCGATGTTGAGACAGGAAAAGGCCAGAAAAGTCTTTAACTTATTATGGCCACCCTTACGTAGGTCACTGCTTCATGTTCACCCTGTAATATTGGTCCCCGTCTCTCCCAGTATATACGGGGGGAGTGTGGGAAGTTTTTCTCTCTTCTCTGCCCCCTCACAGGTCCCGTACACGAGCCATGACATCCCACCAGTGCACCAGCACCCTGCTGTTCATAAGTGTCTGGAGTCTGATGCTGTCCAGGCTCTATGCTCTATCTGTGATCCCTCTGAACCTCTGGAGGTGCCTGTCAGCTGGAGCCCAGGAAGTAAAATTGCTGTGCCACATGCATGGATTCTATGGGATTGGGAGCAACCCCCTGGCCCTGCAGCATCGCTACCAGTTCTACGCTGTTGGCAACTCCTTGGGTTGCCCCTGGAAAAGCATTGCCAATTGCACGCAGAGTGCCACCGGAGAGTCACTCAATTTTTGTTATGAAACTAAGACCACTCCGGACTCCACCCCATTCTTCTGTAAGCTGTTGTGGTCTCAAACAGGACATACACCCTCAAACACACCCAGTGACAGCCTCCTGGGTGCCGGAAGGTGCAGGGTAGCCCTGGTTTCCTCCGCTGTTTGGGGAACAACCATGCCCCTACCTGTCATCATTGTCATTGGAACTCAGACACCTCCGTTACCCAGAGAGGAACTGCAGCTGTCTCTGATCACACCAGCAGGCAAGAATATCACACGGTTCCTCATAAACTGGGAACTGCTGAACTGGACTTTAGCTGGACATGACCTGACTCAGCAAGGTCCCCCAGACTGGGTAGTTCCATTAAAGGGGCACACATTGTGACAAGCTCATGCCAGCAATTTGGTTTAAATTCACATTGCACCTGCATGTGCTCCCTTGATTGGAACTAGCCATAAGGGTTGGGATGAATGGGTAACCTGAG